AAAACTCTGAACTGGAGTCTAACTTATGGGTTCCGTCCGTGGGGCTACCTGTGAGACCCTGCATTTGTCCCAAGGATGAAGATGCGAGGAAGTGTATGAGGAAGGCTCTAGTGGAGTGCCAACCCCCTGGAATGTTAAAATGTGAGGGGAGGAGAACAGCAACGGTAGCAAGGAAGGGCTCTAGAGAAAGACATATACATACAGCTGTGTGCTTTCAGAGCCCTACAGGGGAAAAAGCACAGGGCACCTGCTGGTTTTCCATCAGAGAGAGAAACTAGAGTGTAACAAAAGCCTATATACACATTTAGGAACCATGAATTCATTCGCTCTTCTTGCTTAGTACCAATCAGACCCTCACGGTGTCCTGTTCTGTTATATCTCCCCTGAGGACGGTGGGCCACCCATGAGCTGTATGCCCTTGAACATGTCACATTCCCTCTGAGCCACAACCGTCTTATCTGCCAAAGAGGAAAACAATGCCTAGCCTACCTGCCTCATTTGGTTATTGTAGGGTAATACTGATGATGATAACAGCCAATCTTTGTATGGTGCTTACATGCTTACGTATTGTTACATAGTGTTACACATTACATAAACGTTGTACACATATTAACTCATTTAACCCCCAAAACAGCCCTATGAGATTGGTACTATTATTATCCCCCACTTTACAGGGAAGGAAACTGAGGTACAGGGTGGTTTCAGAACTTGCCCAGTGTCACCCAGCAGGTTAGTGGCAGAGGTGGGATTTGAACCCAGAAAATCTGGCACAAGAGTCCGTGCTCCTAACCTCTTTGTTCTATGACATGATGTCTGAGAGCAGTAAATGCATTTTCAGTGGACGGTGCCGTTCTCATTCCTGCTAGGACCACTCCCACAGGGGAGCATGAAGGCAGAGGAGGATTCACCAGGCGAGGACAGCACCTCCAGCCTTGGATCCATGGACCCCACTGGGCAGGTGCAGAGCTTCTGGGAGGAGAGGGAAGGAATGGCACATCCGCCCGGCCCTTCGCAGCCACAGGACTGTCTTCCTATGCTCTTGTTCAAAGCAGAGTATCTCTGCTGCCAAGAGCGGGTTTGTCTGTCTCCTGGAGACAGCGGTTGTCAAGCCCTGAGAGAACAGCAAGCATGTCAAAAATAGCAGCGCCAGCAGACTGCGTGGCTTCAATTTCCTTTTGAAATGTCGGTTTTGCTCTCGCCAAAGAAGAGCCGGGGTCTGGCTATGCTTCCTGCAGCCTGCAGTGGAGGCTGCTTAAGGTTCCAAGATGCTTGCTAAGGGCAGGCAAAGAGTATCTGCTGGGGCCCATGACAGACTAAGGAAAATCCTCTTCATAGTAACAGTGATGAGGTTGGAGTTGTGTTAAAAAAAAAAATAGTCACAAACCCCACCAGGGCTAAGCGAAGTGATAGCCAAGGTGAGACCAGTATTAATGACACTTACTATAATGTAGGCCCCTTTTCTCTTTCGTTCTGCGAATGAGGGAGTCACTGTCTTATTTGGATAACCCTTCACAAGGGGTCACCAAGAGGTTTCCACTCCCTCTTTAGGATACCAAGGGGATGAGGACCAAGAAGGGACAAAGAGCCAGGTGAACTCCTTTCTCCAGGAGTTCAGAGCAAAGGATGTGAAAGACATGGCAATCTCCAACCCCACAGGGACTTCAAGTGCAGAACAGGAAAGTGGTTCATCGGGAGACACGGTAACACGAGAACCAAGAGCCCATCTGTCGTCATTCCCAGTGGCCTGCATCTGGGAAGCTCCTTCTCCTGCCAAAGCCCCAAGCTCCAGGCCTTATTCTGCCATGAGATATCTGTGCAACCTGAGGCAGCCGGTAGAAAGTGGGATGGAGAGATGAAATCCTACAGTTTCAAGAATGGATTTCTCTTCCTTCCCTGAGTGACTCTGACAAGCTGAAATCAGACCACACTCTGTTCCTGGGGCAATAACCTGCAGTCAAAACCAATCAGAGGCGGGATGCCAGTTCCAGCCAGCGTGTCCCCGGAGGACAATATTCTCTGGGAATCTATCCGGCATTTGTGTAGAGATGTAGGGGAAAGAAATACTGCCAAACGCAAGGGCTCAGCTAGTGGAGAGCAGCAGTGACAAGCAGCAGGACCGGAAGGTGTCATGTGAGGAAACGCACCAAAGGGAGAGAAGGAAGGGATCAGCGAGCAAAAGGCAAGTAAGAGCAGGAGAACAAAGTCTGCGGAGCAACAGGGGAGAAGAGCGAGTGGACGGAGGGCTGTGATGCCACGTCCTCTGTTTACCAAAGCGCCAAGGACTGCTGGCCCCAGCAGCGGCCGTAGAGGGTTAATGGCTCTGAAGGAGGGAGGTGGTGGAGTCGGGAGAATAGAACAGGGACGTCCGGGCAATTTCTGAAGGAATTGTGAGTTTACAGGTGCAGAGATGAGGTGGGGGTTTGGGTTTGTTTGTGGGGTTTTTGTTTTTTGTTGCTTACCGGGCAAGTTCATTGCCCTGGTCCCATGTAATGAATAACGTCCATCACACTCATCCTAGTTCACCATGTGCTGATCACGCTCTGCACTTAGCAAAATGGCGTGACCTGACTTCAGAGCAATGAGAAAAAACCATGCACATCCCACAATGGTTTGATTGTCAAAATTAAAACAAAAAACAAAAACAGTTCTTGGCACTGTGCATGAGTACAAGGAGGAGCTAAATGGAAGCTCGCAAGTGTCCCCGTGTGGCAGAAGAAAAAAATTGTCATTCCATCCTGATGTTCAAGCTGGGCCATCTTTAGAGACGCTAAACCTCTAGATTTATAAAACCAAGCCATTCTCCCAGCCAGGATATGAAACTCCCAGGTTTTTAGCCTCGTGTCACTTTTTTTTTTCACAATTCAATGACTTTTTTTGGTTAATTCATAGAGTTGTACAATTATAACCACAATCCTGTTCTAGAAAACTTCCATCACCCTCCAAAAGTCCCCTGGTGGTCCCTGTTTTAATAGCACAATCTTCGCACCCCTCCCCCGCCAGGCCCCCCCCCCCCCATATCCTGATGCAGGTGGGACCTACCCTCTGCTCTACCATCTCCGGCAAGAAGAGTGCACAGCTCTCCTTACGGACCGGCTGGTAGATCTTAGGCCATCTTGTCAGGGAGCGTCCCCTCTACCTTGCACCACTGGGATTTATGGCCTTTGCTTTTGTCCTGCCTTCAGTGCACAAGAGAGACAGCAGGGTGCTATGTGAACCTTAGAGGGAATTAAGGGCAATCAGAAGGCCAGCCTCCGAGTTAGGGCTTTTTCCAGGCTGGTTCCACTCATGACTATCTCCTAAATCCCTTTTCTGTGTTTATTTTACTATTTCTACTGTTCGTCTGTCTTGAACCTCTCCGTAAGCTTCTTAAGGTTGGGGGACCCTACAGTGGACATATTGCAGTGCTGTACAGCAGAGTATGTATCTGAGACTTGTCAGGTCCTTTCTCTCTCTCTCTCTCTCTCTCTCTCTCTTTCTCTCTCTCTCCCCCTCTCCCCCCATCTTATCCTTGCAACTTCAGGAAATTTCTGCAAGACATTTTTCTAAACCCACAGCAATCTCATCTTGCTTCATAAGTTCAGGACGTCCCCCCACAGAGGTGAGCATGGTAGGAGAGGCTGCTATACTGAGATGGCAGGGAACAGGGGGATCTCCAGCCAGAGAACAACTTCTTAGCAAACACCCTAGATCCCAGCTGTCCTAGAGTTCACAGCACGATCTCAACAGAAATGCCGTAGGTGCTCCCACCTACTGAAAGGTGGAGAGAGGGAGAAGGATAGAAAGATACACATAGAGGGAAGAAGAGGTTAAAACAACAAAAGGGCAAAAACCAGAAACGTGAGAAGAAAAAAATGCAGAGAAAGTGAATAATGAATAGAAAGAGGAAAATGCAGAGAAAAGGAGATGATTAGAAAGGGAGGGAGGAGGCAGCAGTGAGGGCACAGAACTGGAGAAGGAGACTAAAGTAGATAGAATCAAAAAAATACTCAGAAAGGGCCAGCCCCGTGGCTTAGCGGTTAAGTGCACGCGCTCCGCTACTGGCGGCCCGGGTTCGGATCCCGGGCGCGCACCGACACACTGCTTCTCTGGCCATGCTGAGGCCGTGTCCCACATACAGCAACTAGAAGGATGTGCAACTATGACATACAACTATCTACTGGGGCTTTGGGGAAAAAAAAAGGAGGATTGGCAATAGATGTTAGCTCAGGGCTGATCTTCCTCACAAATAAATAAATAAATAAATAAATAAATAAAACTGTTTAAAAAAAAAATAGAAAGAGAGTGAGGTGGCCACTGAGGAAAGGGAAATCAAAACTTTGCTTGGTCCCAAGTGCATGCTCTCCCGCCATCCCTCCGCCCCTCCTCACCCCGAGTTCTAATTTAGCTCAAAGGACTGAGCCAGGAGTGAAATTCCCCAATAGTAGAACCTACCTCAGATGCAAAGACGGCCAGCTGTCTGTCTCTCTCCTTGGGGATGATCAGGCTGGAGGAATGTCTCACATCTCAGCCAAGCTGACAGATCCAGGAGGCCCTCTGGGAGCTCCTGCTGCCTTGAGTCAGGTGTAACGATGAACCCTGCCTTTGCTGGCAGCTCTAAAATCACCACCCCAGCTGTCGCAGCAACAGAGGCTGAATATTCTCTCGGTGCACAGGGCACAAAATCCACATGAAGAAGCTCAGAGTCAGAGAAGGATCGCTTGGCAAAATCCTTCCCAGAAACTAGGTCAGGTCACAGCCTCTCAGTTTTTCTTCGACGTCTTAAGAAGAGCCACCTACAGGATTCCTAGGAGCAAAGCTAGACTCTCTGGAGAAAGGAATATCATTTTTCTCTGTCTCTCTTAGTGCTGGGTGGAACCTCACTCTGAGGAGTTGAGAAGTCCATGATACTGTGGACTAAAACTATTATGACTCTCGGCAAGGCCCAGCCCAGCTGCCTCTCCAGGAGCATGTCCCCTCCAAGGCTCCCCTTGTCATTTTGAAAAAGATAATATTGACATTGGTTTAACTGGTAGTTGCTTAGCATTCAAGTTTCTGGAGGATCAGGGGTGAGATGAGGCAGCTTCAATGACTGGGTGGGGAAACCAGGAAGAAAGGGCCAGGGAGGAAGTTTTGGCGACCTGCTACCCCCTCATTTTCCGAAGGTCACACATCCCTGTCCTGTCACTAGCAGTCCCTAAATCAATATGTGGGAGGTGTTCCCATTTCAGAAGCTGAGAAAACGTAGTCTCCTGTTCTCCCTTGCTGCCCAAATCAGAAGATAGAGAGAACAGTCTGGAAGGTTGCTACGGCAACCAGAGTCCCTGGAGAGCCCAGCTTTCCACAAACCCTTACTTTCAGGCATGCTCTGACTTGAAAAGGAAATGTTTGATTAGGTGTGGTGATGAGGATGATCACATGCACATATATAGAGATACATGCATACCTGTTCCAACAGTTACCCTCAGCTGGAAGCATCCCTTTTGCCTCTGGAATGGGTCCTTCCTTTCCCCAAATAGCCAGGAGTAACGGAACAGATTTGGAAAACCAGCACTTGATGGCCTCAGAGCAGCTTCTGAATCATGAACTCCTCTCTCTCCTACTGTATTTCAGGTTTGGAGAAGCCACACTCCTAATCAAGGTGGCCTCTGGCCCTGGAAGCCTGGCCCGCTAAGCCTGTCTAAAGTGTATCCTCCTTGCAGAAGGGTAAGAAGAAAGACTGAGGCCCAGTTGAAGAGACTAAAGAGGGATTTAAGGAGCTAATGCCCAGAATGGCCTATTCTTGGACTTTGGATCCAAAGCAGGACCTCTGGGGAGAGGCCTTGCCTTTGGGAGATAGGGAAAGAGGATAATGAACTAAAAGTCAAGTCTAAAATTCACACATTTGCATAGCATCATTCCCAGCTTCCCAGGTGAGTTCGACATTCTCCATGAGGTAGGGAGGGGAAGACATTATGTTCCCATTTAATGAGTGGGGAAACTGAGGCACAAGGAGGAACTGTGGCACCAAAGTTACCCTGTAAAACTGTGGTAAAATCCAGATTTAGATCTGGCACTCACAGGAGCCACAGTGTCTCTCAATAAAACCCTCAAAAGGCCATCTTTCATAAGTTGCTCAAGAAAATAATTTTTCTAAAAAAATTCTCATCAAAGAGTCTTAAAGGATAGATATAAAATTAAAAACACATTAACAGTCCTTTCGGTTTCTGAACTGTACCCAGAAGAGCTCAGAACAGTACATCACAGTTTATCAAGGCAACAAACTAATGATGATGCTACTAGGAGAGAAATGGGGGGAAGTGGACGATGGGATGGAAGGCAGCAGTTTCACGATGGAAGAGGATGGCTTAGTCCCGGTGGTACCACCCCTACATTACCTTACCAGGGAGAACAGGTCGGCTGCAGCTCTGAGGGTCAGAGCAAGCGAATGTTTGCTTGACTCAGCAAAAAACCTCCAACAGTCAGGCTGTGAGCAAAGGAATAATGCTTCTTCCCACTCTAACCACCTACTTCATTGCCCATAAAATGGGCAGAGACCCAGGCTGGCATCCAGCGTGTGCTCCCTCTTGTCTCTGGGTTTCAGCTGGAGGTTGCTTTAGAAAGGCTTCAACTGCAATCCTAAGTCAAATCCCCAGGAAGAAGGGTGGAGGGCTAGGGAGGATTAGGGGAAAGCAAGTGAGAGAGATTTGCCTTCTGCAACAAAATTCCTCTGCCCCTTCAAGATGACAATGTCTAAGTAGTACCTCTCTTCACAAACACAGTCAAGCCAACTGCTTGACTCTATTCACCCTTTTCTACTGGCTCTGTGGTTCCCTTGTTCCAGTTCCTCTGCACAGGAAGGCACTTGCACAAAGAGAGTATTTGGCTCTAAGAAGGAACCTTCCTGGAAGCTAAAGATTAGGGGATCAGAGTGGGGAGGACTAAACACAGACCAAAAGCTGATGTCTACTGTGCCAGAACACACCTGGAGAAATCCATTGCCCCCTCTGGTCCAGGACTGACTCTAATGTCCTCCAAATGGCCAAATTTAATTGTAGTTTCTCTAATTCTGTCCAATATTAGAGATGAATAACATCTTTTGAGGCTGCGCAGCTAAAGGCTCTACGGAGGGTCTTCTGCAAAATGACCAGCGGGTGTTACAGGGCACTGGAATAAAACAGCAAGATGAGTATTCTTTCTGTCCTCCAGCTTCTGCTAGTCACCACATGGCCAGAAGCTAAGACAGGTGCATGCCCCAAAGCTAAAGAGAGAAACAGGACCCATGTATGCTTGGTTTCCATCCTGTTGACATCTCTGTTCCTAGAGATATTACAAGTCCCAGACATGAAAAAGCAGTCTTGAGGGAAGGTCAGATGGAAATCTCATCCATGTGACAGAAGATGGGCATGAATGGGTGGCACCATTAGAATTTCAAAAATGTCACTTAGATGGATAAACCTTGAATGCTGCAGGGATCAAGCAACAAGGTTGACAGTCCAGGCTGCCATCCACTCGGTGGAGGAGAAGGGGTCAGGAAGTCAACTGGAGCCAGGGTGAGAGTAGTGGAGAATGAGAAGGAAGGCTAAGAGATTGTCTGCTCAGTGCCATCCTTCTCGTGCAGGCCCTGCCTGCACTGGTCAAACCTCAGTGAGCATCCTTTTCTCTGCATACACCCGATGTGGAGTGGGAAGGTAGCTGGGTCTCCGTTCCCGGGGACCCTCGGAGAATTCAGGCTTGCCAAGTCCATTGTCAGCTGCCTTCAGGTCCGGTGCAGGCTGCCCACAAGTGACATGGGTATACTGGCCCTGCTCCTCCTGCTCCGTCTCCCGGTGATAGAAGTAGTTGAAGTTGGAGACAATGACAGGCACAGGCAGGGCGATGGTGAGGACACCAGCGATGGCACACAGTGAGCCCACGATCTTGCCCCCCACTGTCATGGGGTACATGTCCCCATAACCCACCGTGGTCATTGTTACTACTGCCCACCAGAAGGCATCCGGGATGCTGGGAAAGAGCGAATCATCATCATCGGCCTCTGCGAAGTAGACGGCACTGGAGAAGAGGATGACTCCGATGAAGAGGAAGAAGATGAGCAGGCCCAGCTCCCGCATGGAGGCCTGCAAGGTCTTGCCCAGGATCTGCAGCCCCTTGGAGTGGCGGGAGAGCTTGAAGATGCGGAACACCCGGACCAGGCGGATCACTCTGAGGATGGCCAGGGACATGGCCTGCTGCCCGTTCTGGCCCCCGCCTCCACTGGCTGACTGCTGCTCCTGCTGCTGCACCAGCTCAGTGCCCAGGGTGATGAAGTAGGGGAAGATGGCCACCAAGTCAATGATGTTCATGATGTTGCGGAAGAAGGCTGGCTTGCTGGGGCAGGCGGAGAAGCGCACCAGGAGCTCAAAAGTGAACCAGACAATGCACAAGGTCTCCACCAGAAAGAAGGGGTCAGTAAAGAAGGAGCCCCCAAAAGTACTTAGTGAGGATGAGCCCCCTGGCACCATTCCTCCAGGGGTGATGCCAGGATGAAATGTATAGGAATCGTCTTCATCCTCCTCTTCCTCCTGACTGCCCCTGGAAATTGGGGAGACTCTGCTCACACCACCACCATTGCTTCCAGCTCGACCATCTGCACGGAACTGGGGCAGGGTCTCCAGGCAAAAGATGACGATGGAGATGAGAATGACCAACACGGAGACGATGGCTATGCCCCTGGCCGGCCCAGAGCTCTCTGGGTACTCGAAGAGAAGCCAGACCTGGCGCTGGAAGGGCTGGGAGGGGAGCGGCTTCTCGTCCTCACCACCCTCGGGCAGGCAGCCCTCATCCTCCCGGAAGGCGGCCAGGGCCTCATCTCCAAGTTGGTAGAAGCGAATCTCCTCCAGGAAGATGTCCAGCGGCACGTTGACCGGCCTCCGCAGGCGGCCCCCCGACTGGTAGTAGTAGAGGATGGCGTCGAAGCTGGGCCGGTTGCGGTCGAAGAAGTACTCGTTCCTCAGTGGGTCGAAGAAGCGAACGCGGCGGCCCGGGTCTCCCAGCAGCGTGTCGGGAAACAGCGACAGGGTGCGCAGTTGCGTCTCAAAGCGCAGCCCCGAGATATTGATCACCAGCCGCTCGCTACTACATAAGCCCCCGCCCCCGCCGGCCTCCGGGAAGTCTCCCGCGTCCTGCTGCTCCCCCTCCGGCCCACGGACCTCCCCCGGCGCCGCCAGCGTAAGGGATTTCTCCGATCTCATGTCCCCTCCGCGGCGCGCTCCCCGCCACTAGGACGGCGCCCACCGCACGACCTCTGGAGTCGGCACCGCTTCTCAGCTCCCAGCTGCGCCCTCTTTTTAGGGTGGGGCTCGGCTTCTATGGACTCCTGGTCTGACCTGGCTATTGGGTCTGTGAGCCCTGAAGCCCTGATCCCTGCAACTCTAGGTCTGGGGAGGTGACCTGGGCGCAGAGGATTTAGCTCCGCGCCTCCAGTTATCCGCGTCTGGGTGCTGGAGATTACTGGGATACCTGGAACTGCAAACTGGTGCGTGTGAACTGGCTCCCCGAAAAGACGTGTGGCTTCGCCCCTTGCCGTGCCTGAGACTGGGCTCCGGGACGCAGGGGTCCGCCGTCCAGACGGGTTAGATCTTCCCAGCTCCCACTGCGCTTCTCCAACAGCTCCAGACCCCCGGCTACCGCTAGTACCGAAGCGCCAGATGCGCCTCCCTCCGGCTCGGCAAAGACTCCTGGCGGGGCTCGGCCTCCGCCCTACGTCCACCGCGGGCTCGGTCTGGACAAGGTCGCCGTTCCCGCCGCCACAGCCGCCACCTCCTCCCAATGAGACGCTCCGCAGGCTTCGGAGAGGGCCCTGGGGCTGCCCCGGCGCCGGGGCGCGGGGACCCTCCTCCCCACCGCTCGAGCCTTCGCTGCAGCCGCCGCAGCTGCAGCGGCTGGGCTCTCGGCTCTGCCCTTCCTTCCCAACACACACTCTCCAAGTGACGTGGCAGGCCCCGCCTGCTGCCCCCTCCCACCCACTCCCTCATCACACCCCTCGCCCAGGGGCTGCTGCGAGCCAGGACGCTGGGGAAACAGACACATACTTGCCTCACCAGTAATCTTTCCCGCGCTCTCCTGGCACGCCTCTCCTTTTCGCACGTTCACATTCACATTCACGGCCCCTCTAAACAAGCACCAGTACCCTGATACCACACCCCCTCCACCCCCGCAATCAGCCTTTCTCTTTTCGGTTTACGGAGTTGACCTGCGCAGTGCATTTGATGAATAAGAAAACATGTCCCGCCCGCCACACAACACGGAGCACTGTGCCTCCACTCATCCGGAAATTTAATGAAAAAATCAAATCATATTTCGTTCCTCTGTACTTACCAAGACCCATTGCCAGCTTCTCCAGACTCTACTTAAAGAAAAAAAAAAAAAATAGAAGCAGCATTTTTGAGATGTCTTGAGAGCTTCCAATTTAAATCCAATGTAAGTTCCCAGAGAATCCCATTCCTCCGTTTGCAAACCTGGGAGGGTGAGGCTGCAACTCTCCTAGGATTGCAAAGTGACAGTAGAGAAAGGAGTGGGACATCTCCCATGCCCTTCCCATCAGAACTTTTCCAGGGGAGTCCTGGGAACTTAGGCAGCAGCCCCAGTGAAGAAAGAACCAGAAGATGGTGGCATCTCAGAGGTATCATAGTCCAGGAAAGTACACCTTTGAATCTCTTTGCTCCCAAACTCCCTGGGAACAAATCTGGAATGCTTATTGCACAGTCAAGAAAAGGGAGGAGGGGGTGAGCGGAAGGGGTATGTAAGCGTGTTGACAAAAGTAATAGCTGCATTTACTGAGCATCTGCTATGTCTCAGCCACGTTCTAGGTGCTTTACCTGTACTATCTCATTCAATCCTCACAAGCCTGGGAAAAAGAGGGCCTCTGCTCCTAGGTAACATTATGGTGAAGACCCACCCAACAGTATATGGGAGGGGACCACGATTTGTTGTTAGGGACTCTCCAGGAGGGAGGAGGTAAGAATGGTTCTCCATCCATTTCTGCCAGAGACCATGTAGTCTTTCATCGCTAGAACAGACAGCTTGGGGTCTGGTGAGGGAGGGTTGGTTTCATTTTTTCAGACTACCACTTCCAAGTAGGATTGACATTTGCTCCTCTGTGCCTCAGTTTCCCCCTTTTTGGGTGGCTGTAGCCAAAATTAACTGGCTGACAACTACATGGTGTTTTTGTGTAGCTTCTTGTGCATGTTAGATCATTAGTAAGAGTTCATTGACGATAATGATGGGAATGATACTTAAAACTGCTCTCAAACCACAAGACACGTGTAAGAGTTCTTTGTATTGCACAGAGTGTTTTAAAACCACAGAGGTTCGCTCCCAGAGAGATGGGGGAAGTAGAGAGCTAAGGCTCCTGAGTATATGGAGAAGAGGTCAGGTAGTGAGTGAGTTGGAGAGAGGCTAGCATCTCACTGCGTCTTCATTCTCTAGGCTTGCCCCTCACCAGGCTTTCTGGGCAATAGTTTCTACTTCCTTTCCTGCTTGTACTGTTAATTTCCACTCCCTTCTCTCACCTTGAGTGTTTCAGTGAAAGGTGAGAGAGCAAGTGTACAGAGTCACCCAGCTGATATTTTTCCTATTTACAGGCTGTGTAATTAAGCAATTTAGACTTTACGCTAGTAAGTTGCTCCATTCAAAAAAACAAAAATTGAAAGGAAAGAAAAGGAAATCAACAACAAATACAATATAGATGATACTCTTTTACCCTTGTCCAATTATCTGCAATTATTTTCTGGGTCGTAAATTGATTTACTCCTGATTTTCTTTTTGTCTTTGTTTTCAAAATTTATAATGAATTATTTATTTGCCTGTTTGTTTTCATCATTGCCATTTTTATTCATGAGGTTGTCAACCAGGTCAGTAACTCCTCAAAACAAACCTTGGAGAAGCATGGGAAGGAACCTGCATTCTGCTAGAAGGGTGCACAGTCTCATATAGTAGCAGGAACCACCATTTGAGTACCCTACCCATTGGGTTCAGCCTGCCAAGCTGCAGGCAGAGCTGATGTTCCATGGTTACTCTCACATCAGACATAAAGCTGTGCCCCAGGAGAGGTTTCACTGTGCATGGGGAGGTTCCCTTGGAGGGAAAATCCATTAGCAAATTCATGAATCAGAGTTCTGTTTTTAGTTCTTTTATGAAAGAGACATTTCTTAGCTTTAGAAAAGCCCTATGCCTGGATCATTCTTCTCAAGTACATATTAACAGTAAGTGCCTCACACCTTTAGAAGTGCCAGCTCCCAAGTGAAGGAAGATAAGAGGAACAACGCCGTCCATAGACTGGAACGTTGCTTCCAGTGACAGGTGAACACTTCCCCAGCAGTCACTAAGCACCAATTTCGTGTCAGATAGATTTTTCTTGTTGTATCTAAATTCAGATATTTGTAATGATGGTAGGGGTCATTCATTTATTTAACAAACATTTATTGAGAAGCTACTGGTGCCCATCATGGTGCCAGATGCTAGGGATTTAGAAGTGATCTAGACAAAATATCTGCTCTTAGGAGCTCACATTTTCATGCAATAAATACATTACATTCTAGATAGAAAATTTTAACAGTAAACAATAAAGAAGATATTTACATATTGTAGTAAATGCTTTGAAGAAAATAAGTGAGATGCTATGTCAGAAATGAATCTGGCGATTCAACTTTGAAGAGGGTGGTTGGTAAAGTTCCCTCTAAAGAGTTAATATTTCAACTGAGAGTTCAAAGACCAGAATGGGCCAGCTAAGCTAAAAGCAGGGGATGAGCATTCTGGGCCAACAAGTGTGAAAGCCCTGAGCTGGAAAGGTCGTGAGTGTCTAAGAAGGAAAAGAAGGCCACGTGCTGGGAGGAGAATGGTCATGGGGAGAGATGACAATGTGAAGCTGCAGAAGAAACTGAGGTGTTCAGGTTTTATCTTCAGGGCAATGGATGCGAAGCTAATGATGGCTCTCAAGCAGAGGAGAGACATGCTGATTTACGTAGAGGCTGTGAGGAAAATGAATTACAAAGGGGCAAAAGAAAAAATAGAAAGACAAGGAAATTGCGGTAGTCTGGGGAAAAGATGATGGTGACTTGAACTAGAGGAAAGGTAGAGTGAATAGAGGTAGAGTGGGGAGGAGACAGGGGATTGGAGGGTGTTTGGGAGATAGAATCAGTAGGAATTGGTGATGAAAAGATCATAGATGAAAAGATGATGAGACATAAACAATGAGTACCAGGTTTCAGGTTTGAGCAACTAGATGAGTTGGTGGTGCCATTTATTGAGACAGGGAAGATGAGGGGTTATCAAGTTGGGATCAGTCAAGCTCTCATTTTTAGACATAGTCAACTGGAGAAGCAAATTAGACATGCAAATGAAGATGTCAAGGAGGCAATTGTTTATTCAGGTCTGGAGTATGGTAGGGAAATTTATGATATATGAATTTAAAATATTTAGAAATATTTAAACCAATGGCACTAAAATCTTCTAGAGAGACAGAATGTGGACAATGAAGAGAAATATACCCAAGACCGAGTCCTTCATAGTACTCTACAATTTACAGTTCAAGTTCAAGAGGAAGAGGAGCCAGCAAAGGAGACCAAGGGGTTGTCAGTGGGGTAGAAGGAAAACCAAGAGAAGGGATTGTCCTGGAAACCAACAACTGGGACCAGACCCCAGGGCTCCCATCCTCCCAGGCCCGTGCTGACCTTCCAACTGAACACAATGTCTGGAAAGGAAAGGGTGCCAGAATGGAGGAACCACCTAAAAATTGATGTAAGTTTCAACCAAGATGAGCACACAAAATGTGGCACATAGTTTGATAACCATTTATATTCTTAAAATGACCTTAAAATGTACTTATTCCAGATATATAAATGATCATTCTATTCTAATTTCCAGGCTGCTTTTATGACATTTTTACTTTGTGTGTGTGTGTGTGTGTGTGTGTACATGCGCCATGCACTTGTCATTATCCCTCAGTAGGATCCTTGTAGTTTTCCCCTGGGGAGAGAGAGTGGTGGCAACAAACTTAGCCTTGTTTCTCCGAATAATCTCCGGGAATGGTTCTTTTCACTGCCCTCTCACCCTCGGGCCCCTGTGGCAGGAAAAAGTGGTAAGTGATCAACTCCCTCATTCCTACTGAGGAAACACCTGTGCACAAGTATACATACCCCCTCCCTGAGAAGAATCACCCCTCTCTCTAGCTTTCACTGTAGAAGGCAAACTACACAGAGATAGTTGTGGGCGGGGGGGGTAAGTCAGACACTGTGTCTCTCATCTGACTATCCCACCTCTGGGCAAGGCTCACTGCCCTGG